ATATCTATGTAAGCTTAATGTTCGAAGCATTAATGTACGAGCATATTTTATTTATTTACAGTAACTACTCTTGTTTCTCTTCATTCGCAAGATACATCTATTCAAACTTTCAATGAGCTTAATTTCTCTGAATGGCGTGAGCAAGTTCAGTTTCACCTTGGTGTTCTGGATCTTGATTTAACACTTACAATTGAGAAACCCCCTGCTCTTACTGATTCTAGCAGTGCTGAGCAAATATCCTTCTATAAAGCTTGGAAAAAATCGAACATATTAAGCTTAATGTTTATGCGCATGACTGTAGCAAATAACGTAAAGTATACATTTTATAACACTGAAAGTGCTAAGGAATTTATGAAATCTGCTGAGAATTGTTCTTAGTCTGACTTTGCTGATAAGTCGGGGACACTATTGAGTACGTTAACCAACATGAAATTTGATGGTTCTCGTACCATTCATGTGCATGTTGTTGAAATGACGAACATAACAGCAAGACTTAAGACCCTAGGAATGGAAGTGAATGAAAATTTATTTGTGCAATTTATCATTAACTCATTGCCTCCTGAGTATGGTCCATTTCACATGAACTACAACACTATGAAAGATAAGTGGAATGTAAATGAACTACAATGTATGCTCATTCAAGAGAAAACAAGGCTTAAAAAAGGAACAAATCACTCCATTAATCTCATGGGTCATCAAAGAAGAGCTGTAAAGAAACCTTGAAAGAAGAATAGAAAAGGACCACTAAAGATTAACGTGTCATATGCCCCAATTCACAAAGAGGAATATAAAGGAATTAAGCGTCACTTTTGCAGAAAGCCTAGACACTATCAAAATGAGTGTCAAAAGCGCAAAGACTGGTTCGAAAAGAAAGGTAAACCTTGTGTTTCTGTATGTTTCGAATCAAATTTGGCAGAAATTTCTTATAATACATAGTGGATTGATTCTGGTTGTACCACTCATTTTTCTAATACGATACAGGGATTCCGTACAACCCAAATCATAAACCCAAATGAACAATTTGTCTTCATGGGAAACCGAGTCAAAGCGCCAGTTGAAGCTATTGGAACCTATCGGTTGATTTTAGATACTGGACATCATTTAGACCTTTTTCAAACATTTTATCTCCCTTCTGTTTCTCGTAATTTGATTTCGTTGTCTAAACTTGATTCTATTGGATACTCATTTAAATTTGGAAATGGTTGTTTAAGTTTGTTTAAACACAATCATCTCATAGGTTCTGGTATTCTTTGTGATGACCTATATAAGCTTAAGCTTGATAACATTTTCTTTGAGAATTTGATGACTTTACATCATAATATTGGTACTAAACGCGGTTTTATGAATGAAATTTCAGCTTATCTGTGACATAAACGTTCGGGTCATATATTCAAAGAAAGAATTGAAAGATTAGTAAAGAATAAAATCCTTAATGAATTAGATTTTACTGATCTTGGCATCTGTGTGAATTGTATTAAAGAAAATCACGCAAATCACACACTTAAAAAAACCGCCACAAGAAGCACACAACTCCTTGAAATTATACACATTGATTTTGTGAACATTTTGATGTTTCATCTTTTGGTGGAGAGAAATACTTTATCACCTTTATTGATGATTTTTTATGTTATGGGTATATTTATTTATTGCATCAAAAATCTCAAGTTATAGATGTCTTAAAGGTGTATATAACTGAGGTTGAGAGACAATTAGACAGAAAAGTGAAAATTATCAGGTCTGATAGAGGCGGTGAATATTATGGAACTTACAATGAATCTGGACAATGTCAAGTTCCATTTGTTAAATTCCTTCAAATTAATGGCATACGTGCTCAATACACTATGCTAGGAACACAACAACAAAATGGTGTTACAAAAAGGCAAAATCGTACTCTAATGCAAATGGTTAGGAGTATGATGAGTAATTCTTCTTTACCCTCATCATTGTGGATGCATGCTTTAAAGACCGCTGCATATTTATTAAAAAGGATTCCTAGTAAGGCAGTTCCAAAGACTCCTTTTGAACTGTGGACAGGAAGGAAACCTAGTTTAAGGCACCTGTATGTTTGGGGTTGCCCAGCAAATATAAGGTTATATAATCCACATGAAAAAAATGGACTAAAAAACAACCAGTGGTTTCTTCATTGGTTATCCAGAAAAATCTAAAGGGTATAGATTTTATTGTCATAATCACAATACAAGAATTATTGAAATTGGAAATGTCAAGTTCATTGAAATGGTGAAGTTAGTGGGAGTTTGGAACCACATAAAGTGGAGATCCAAGAAATTAGGGTTCAAGTTCCTTTACCCAAAATTTCTTCTCAATTTGTTAGTCCTACAGTTGCTGAACAGTTTGACAACTTACAAGAACAACACATATATGATCAAATACCCCACAATGAAATTGTCACTAATGAACTTACATTAGATGAACCACATGAAGTAGTACCTAGAAAGTCTCAACGACAAAAAGGTATGCTATTTCTGATGATTATGTGGTTTATCTTCGTGAATCCGAATTTGACTTAGGAGTCAATGAAGATCCAGTTTCATTTTCACAAGCCATAAAAAGTGCAAATTCTTCTAAATGGTTAGATGCAATGAAAGATGAGTTGAAATCGATCACAACAAAGTTTGGGATATCGTTGAATTGTCTGAAGGTTGTAAAAGAGTCGGGTGTAAATGGGTCTTTAAGACTAAGCGCGATTCGAATGACAATATTGAACGATATAAAGCCAGACTTGTTGCCAAAGGTTTCACTCAGAAAGATGGCATCGACTATAATTTTTTCAGTTTCTAAGAAAGATTAATTTAGAATTATCGTAGTACTAGTAGCTCATTATGATTTAGAGTTACACCAAATGGATGTGAAAACTGCCTTTCCGAATATGAGAATTTAGATGAAGAAGTTTACATGACTCAACCTGAAGGATTTTTGGTTGAAGGAAAGGAACACATGGTGTGTAAACTTAAGAAATCAATATACGGACTTAAACAAACTTCCCGACAATGGTATCTTAAGTTCAATGATACCATCACATCCTTTAGATTTAAAAAAAACATTGTTGATTGGTGTATATATCTAAAGGTCAGTGAGAGAAAAATTATATTTCTTATTATATATGTTAATGACATCTTGCTGGCTACTAATGATCTTGGCTTATTATATGAAACCAAAAATTTTCTCTCTAAGAACTTTGAGATGAAAGATATGAGTGAGGCATTCTATGTGATTGGAATTAAAATATTTTGTGATAGATCACAAGGATTGTTAGGGTTATCTCAGAAAACATATATCGAAAGAGTTCTTAAGAGATTCAATATGGAAGGTTGCTCAGCAAGTGTTGCTCTAATTCAAAAAGGAGATAAATTCAGCCTTATGCAGTGTCCAAAGAATGATTTGAAACATAAACAAATAGAAGAAATTCCTTATGCATCTATTGTTGGAAGCTTAATGTATGCTCAAACTTGTACCAGACCAGACATTAGCTTTGTTGTCGGGATGCTGGGCAGGTATCAAAGTAATCCAAGAATAGATCATTGGAAAGCTGCAAAGAAAGTTTTAAGGTATCTACAAGGAACAAAGGACCACATGTTCACTTATAGAAGATCTAAAGATCTTGAAGTGATAGGATATTCAGATTCAGATTTTGATACCAGAAAATCATCATTTAGCTATATGTTCCTTCTAGCTGAAGGAGCAATCTCATGGAAAAGTGTGAAGTAGACTATCACAGCTGCTTTCACTATGGAAGTTGAATTTTTGGCTTGCTTTGAAGTTGTAATTCAGGGTTTATGGTTGCGGAATTTTATTTCAGGACTTGGAATTGTCGACAGTATTGTCAAGCCGTTGAAAATTTTTTATGATTCTTTTCCAAAAATGATAAGTATTCCAAAGGAGCTAATCACATGGAATTAAAATACCTTGCCGTTAAGGAAAAGGTTCAGAAACATAGGGTGTCAATTGAGAATATTAGCACCAATCTCATTATTACAGATTCTTTAACGAAAGGGTTTCCACCGAAAATATTTAACGAACATGTCGTGATAATGTGCATTACCAAAACCATTTATTAGTTTTATCCTCTTTGTATTTTAACACTTTGGGCTCTTTTTTCTTGTTTATGATATTTATAAATCTTGTTTTTATCATTAGTGTACACTTTATGTTGCATGATTTTCAACAAGATTTGTCTTTTAATAGACATTATGGGACTATGATGTTAATTCTCATTATGTTAAGTATGCAATTGATATTGTGATACATGGAAGAGACTGTGTCAATAAATTGATACACAACCACCATGACTCATAATAATTTCATATTTATTAAATAATTTATAATTTAACCAATATAAAAAAGGATTACAGTATGTTATGCACTATTAAAATTAAGTGAGTCAAGTGGGAGAATGTTATATTTTTATTTATAACTCACCTTTATTTTAATAATTTATGAGATTTATTTTTGATAACTTAAGTTATTAATTTTCTTAACTCATAACTTATGTTATAACTTATGACAACTTATGATATTTATTTTTGTAACTCATATAACCCTTAAAATAAATAAATGTTACTAACTTATGTCATTGATTTTAATAATAAAAATCAATTAATTTATTAAATTATTATAAATCCTATTAGTTAGTAACCCCCTTGATGGATAGTGGTTAAATAGAACATGAATTTGAGAATGGGTCTTCTCTCTACCTAACACACCCCATACATTTCTTTTCATTAGAAAGTACAGAAAGTTTCAAGGGATTAGAGAGAGAAACTCCATCTCTTTAAGATCAAATTTCTTCAAGATCAAATTTGTTCATTATAAATACAGATATGCGTCACTTTATTTTAGATATGTAAAAATTATGAATTTAAAAGATCTTGGCTATTATGTACTTTTTTTTTTTGAAATTTATATCATAAAATTGAAACATGAATTTTCTAACAGAACAAGCACTCAAAGCATAGAAAGCCCAACACGCCAACAAATAGCTTCTCTCAAAATTATTCATGATTTCATCTCACAAATAACTTGATGAAAAACTCTATTCAAAAGAAACAAATTTATTTGCTATTTATGAAAACTGAATGAGTTCAACTGTTAGTCCTCTCCGAACTAACCAATGATCAAACATGATCATATCACATCAGCTCCAATAAAATTCAATATGAATATGGATGTTCAAACCTCATCAATAATTTGCTTACCATCTTACATAACATCATTGGATGACGTTAAAATTCTTGTAAAGAACTACTTTAATGCTAAACTAAACTGCAGCATTTTGTTTCTTCTTGTATACATAAGATCTTGTGAAGTACAGGTAGAAGATCAGCTCTGCAGCACTGAGACCAGCAAGAAGCCAATAGAAGTAGTCAAGATGAGCACGGTTCAGATTATCAGAGAACCAGCTCACTCCACTTTTACTAGTAGTCTCATTGATGACAGTTATGAGGAAGCTACTAATGAAGTTTCCAATGCCAAATATGCTCAAGTAGAGGGCAAGCCCAAGGCTCCTAAGTGCATCAGGAACCTGATCGTAGAAGAATTCCTGCAAGCCCACCATTGTAAACACATCAGCAATGCCATAGATAATGTATTGAGGAACTAACCACCACAGACTCATTGGAATTGCTATCTTTGGTTGATCTATCAGCCCATAATCTTTAGCAATTTTCAATCTCTTGGTCTCAACTAGGGCTGCAATTGCCATGGCTATCAGTGACAGGAACATTCCAACCCCAATCCTTTGCAGTTGTGTGATTCCTGTAGGAATCCTGGAAAATTTTCTGGATACAGGAACTATAATTCGATCATAGATTGGAATGAAAGCGACAATGGAGATGCTGATGAAGCTCTGCAAGGCTGCAGGTGGAACTTCGAAGCTTGAACCGATTCTACGGTCGAGGGTGCTCCCTTGTTTGGTGAAGAAGGTTGATGACTGTGCAAAAACCACAGCATATATTAAGCATGTAGCCCATATTGGTACCAATTGAAGCACTCCTTTTGCTTCTTCTATTTGGATGGCATTTTTTGCTTCATCTTTCTCAAACCTACACAATAATGGCTTTTCAGGAGCTTTTTATCGCTAGACTATATCAAGGTGCACATGAGCTTTAGTACATTAAATTATGATGCAAAAACTCAGGGAAGTATCTGTTAACAAAAAAAGATGAAGGAATGCAAGTAACATCAGGAATTTGGAATTAAAGATGGTTCTTAGATTTTTCAACTTCTGTGATTCTAAGAAGAGATCCAATTGAGCTGAATTGGGGTAGTTACCTCATTCAAACAAAAAAAGAAATTGAAACTGCCACTAAAATGCTATGAAAAGAATGGAAAAATCCATTGAATGAATGAAATCTAAGGAAACCACTCAACAGAATAGGACTTACTCGGTATGATCAAATTCATCAGACACAGAGGTCTGGCTCCCAGTCAATCCATGAGAAGTTGCCATATGACTTTTTACAAGAGTAACAAATGATTTCCCAATTCTATGGAATGGATTTTCACCTTCCAATTCGTAGAAGCGATATGTCTTAGTTCCAAGCAGGAACAAGATGAGAGCAAGAACCATGGAAATACATGGTATACTAAATCCAAGGGCCCAACTAATATTATCTTGCACATAATTCAAGATTATAATCGTCACCGCTGTGCCCAGGCAAATACCACAATACCACCAGTTAAAAAATGAGCTCCTTGAGATGTACTCTTCAGGGTCATTCTCATCAAACTGATCAGCGCCAAAAGCCTGTGTGCAAGGCTTATGACCACCTTGAGCAAGTGCAACAAGATACAAAGCAAAGTAGAAGAAGCCCGTTTGAAAATGATTTGGACTACAAGCCTTGCCATCAATGATACACTTGGGTGGACGAAGGTTTGGTAGCAGAGAAGATAGAGTCAGCAGACCCAAGCCCTGAAATGCAATTTAGTTTAGTTGGCTGATTGCAATATATTGAGATAGTATGCAAAGTTCATAAAATTCTGTTAACCGCAAACATTTGGAATTAATTAGCAAAGTATGTTCATTTCCTCATAAAATCTGTATTAAGACAGGTTATAGTGCATATCAAGGGAACTGTCAATACAGGTTGTGACGTGTCGTATGAATAAAAAATTATATATGCTCTAATAGACTATAACTAAAAGCACTAGAGAAAGCTATTAGCTTTTATGCATAATCTAAATGAAATGAGTTCATGTTCTAAATTATCCATTATAAAAACCGAAGATGATATAAAAATAAGTGCAATATAAGTTGCTGAAGGGTTAAAATGATTTCATAGTTCCGGCTGATGTTTTAATTGGCTGGTGAACCTTATATTAATAATATAAAGATATGTAAGTAGAAGTTTTTATAAGAAAATGAATCACAACAATAAAAGGAATATAGTCTTATTTTAGTAGAAGTTTTTATAAAAAATCATCAAAACATGAGTTACATGTTAAAATATAATCAATTACTAGTGCTATTCAAAATTTTAAAACTTTTTTTTTTCTCGAGCAAATCATCAAGTATGCAAGCACCATATAATCAATCATCGCATATTACATCTACTTTTAGTCATAAGAACAAGGTTAGATTAAATACAAAAAAAGTTATGCATTCCATGTCTAACATCAAGTGTTATCGATGTGGTTCATATTGCAAAATCCTACATGTACAGCCGCTAGATTAATAAGAGCACTACATATAAGCAAATTTTCAAGATTAAAACTGCATATCATGGCATTTTGCATCGATATTCATTAGTGGATTCAGGATGAATTGGGCTTCAAAAATTAAAATGTAACACCTTTTTAGTTCTTCACAATAGAACCGATAGAAGCATTTGGTACCTGGATAGTGGTTTCAGAACACATGACTAACAATTGAATAAAATTTATAACACTTGAGTTTAAGGAAGCAGATGCAACATTATAAGAAAGAAAGTTGTTATTGTAGATGTCGATACAGATATTAATTTTTAATTCGAAATGGTTTTTAGTGTTTTCAAACGTATTGTACTTGGTGTAAGTCGTATATGTTATAAAGGCTTTGATATTAAGTTTTTATCTAAAGTTTGCTTGTCAAAGCTGAATAAAAAAAACTATCTTAGAAAAAAATTGGGATTAGTAATGTGTATCTATTAGGTATTAATTCCATTAGCAAGACTAATGAGCTCTATAGCATGAAAACGATATTAGATGAGCCACAATTATACTGTAAGAGACAATGTCAACCACTCATCTAGAGAATTGCTTAGAGTAGAATACACCAATGATCATTTGAGCGATGCTTTTAATTAGAAAAATAGGCAAGACTTTCATTTTATTCTAGTAATTTAATTGTTCTATAGACCCTTAGAAAGACTTCATATGTGTTTATTTGGATTGATTAGTAGCAAGTCCAGACGGAAAATCTTTTGGATTGACTATAATGGAAAATTTTACTAGACACACTACAAGATTTATATGGGTGAAAATTTTATCAAAAAAAAGTAGTTTATTGATGAGATTAGGACATTTTGAATCTGAATTAAAAAAAAATCAGGATATATGATTTCTATTATACATAATGATTATTGACCAAAGAAAAATATGTTGAGATTTTCATACCTATTTTATATTAATATTGATGATATTGCACTTTAAAGAAGGGTATTTTTTATGTTTTGTTGCAGGTATGTTGAATTATGGTCATTGGAGCAAAAAAATGCAAAAAGAAGCTAATTTGGAGTAAAAAGGACCAAAATATGAAGATTTGAACTAGGACGCCGACGGCGAGCCCAACGGCGCCGACAGTGGGTTTTTCCCGAGAGTCTAGAATCAAATATTCTAAAAAGCCGCCGACGGCGCCATCGAGGCCGCCGACGGCGAGGACGATGGTTCTCTCAAAAGATGCATTGAATTTGGACGATTTTTTAAGGGATGCTTAGGCAACTCTTGAAAACTCTTCTATAACTTTAAGAGAAACATTTTGGAGGCCAAAAAAGGGGAGTCCAGAGTGTCTAGACAGTCGTTGAGTTTTTATTGTTTGTAGAGTGTAGAGAGTTTAATTTAGGGTTAGTATTGTGAGGAATTCTTCGAGAGATTGTAAGAGTGGAGGGAAAGTGAGAGATTTCTTCCTCCTTGTCGCTTCGAAGAAAACCAAAGTGAGAGATTTCTTCCTCCTTGTCGCTTCGAAGAAAAATTCTGTGTGTTGTAAAAAAAGGAAGAGATACAGAGAAACTTCGAGGAGTTTGCTTATGGAGGAATTAGAGATAAGTGATATTTACTTATTAAAGTTTGTATGATCTTGCTTTTATATATAAGTTCTAAGTTTTGTCGCATCTTCTCCATGAGTTCTGAGTAGTTTGCTCTGTCTTTCTCCTTGTCTTGAAATTTTGTGAAATGGTGATTTAAATTGGTTGAGCCATGAGAATGTTAAAGAAGTTGTGATGATCTTTTCACTTCGATCTTAATTTACTTTCAATCTGGCCAATTGATTTGTTAAAATATGTTGAGTTTTACAACTAAAGTAAAGATTACATCCAAGATTTAGGGAGGTCAAAGTCCTTGAAAGTTGGGTGAAAATGAATAGAGAAATAAAATTATCGGGTGTAGAATTGAAAATTTTAGAGTGACAGACTAAAATCTTCAATTCGGTCCTATCTTTTGGGTGCTGAAGTGTAAATGTTAGTCCTCAAGCAAGGGGAATGTGGGAGCTCCGAAGTGAGAGTCGGTATCCTCCCAGACTAGCAGCAGATTCAGTAACCAAGCATAGGATTAGTCAATGTTCTTTATGCCTAGACCAAATGGTAAATAATAGGTATGCTTCCATTTGACACAATACAATTTGAACTAATTCACTTTATCCATTCACTTTAATTTCTTGACAAGGAGATGAATGTTTTCTTATATATTGAACTTCACATTAGAAACTTTATTAGTAGAATTAGTTAATTAAGAATTTGTTAAAATTAAATATTTATTTCAATTGCCTATCAGTGACAAATAAACAATTTGAGCTGTATTGTTGTGATTAAGTATTGATTTTCTAAATCCTAGTTCGTAGCCTCTAGTATTACTCCTTGTGGGATCGATATCCAGGACTTCATTAGAGCCTTGTATTACTTGAGCGATACGTATACTTGCGTTGATAAGTGTGACTTTGCAATTATTGAATATTTTATACACATTTTTATCAAATATATAACCGTTTTCAAGTTTTTGGCACTGTTGCCGGAGACTTAATTCTTCTAGTAACAGTATCAAATTCTTGTATTTTTAAACATATATAAAGTCGCTGTCAAGTTTTTGACTTCGTTGTCGGGGACTTAATTCTTCTAGCAACTGTATCAAATTCTTGTATTTTTAAGCATATATAAAGTTGCTGTCAAGTTTTAGAGGAGAAATTGAGAATATAAAATTTGAATAAGAAATGCATATTATCTTTATGCACTTAGAACTCTATTAGAAAACAAAATAGCAAAAAAATAGAGCCCTAGTTGAGGTCACCCTACCTATGCTCAATGCATATACAATATAAATGTATTTAGGCAAATGTTGTAATCATAGCATTATATTTTGACTATAGTAAATATTAGTCGTAGATTGAGCATAAAACCCTACAAATTACTCAGGATTGAACAACAATTTATTTGAATTACATGTTTTTGAGTGTAAGTGCTTTACATAGAACAAAGGAAAATCAAATTTAGAAAATTTGGATGCAAAAGCAAAAGAAGTTACATTTTTCGGTTACTCTTCAACAAGAAAGTGATAGTCTTTAATAAAAATATCCTGGTAGTAAAAGTGTTTACGCATATAAGCATTCATGAATCATACGAGGTCAATCGAATTAAAGAATCAAGCATAGTTGAAGATGTCATAACTAGTGTTAAGAATTTAGAGTTAAGAGATAGAGAAAAAAGCCATTTCCAAGAGAATATAAGTATTCATCTAGTAATCCTAAATAATAAATTCATAGAGATTAATTTGTGTATAAAATTTATGAAGTTGACAGATGCATGTTGGTTAATCAAGGCAGATTGATTGAATACTATTCACCTTGTAGTGGCATACTGTCGGTCAACTTTTTTTTTCGATTAGATTTAATTTTGAAAAATATGGTATATGAAAATAATTTTTGAGACTTAATTTAAGTATAAAAGATATATAGTTTGAGTTTTAAAAGTAGTATGTTTTAATTTTTGAAAAAATGAGACCAAATGGATCTCATTAGTCTGATAGTTTGCAAAATCGTGCCTGATACCGCAAATACTACACCTTCCCGAGAGATAAGTGTAGACCTCAGCGATAGACCCAATCCTGCAAACTAAGAGATTTGTGACATCCGTTTGGTCTGCGAACCTTTTATATATGACCGACAAATTCCCCTATTTAATACAAAGATTAAATAGGGTTTATTTTACCTGGGTTCCAAGTTCCCTATAGAGGCAAGCCCCTATAGTTAATTACATCCCAAATGACGGGAGTCA